TGACCTGGAGTATGAGCCCCCAGGAGATGGAGCCAGAAAACCTGCTGGGGCCCATGGCCCGCAGGATGGCCCAGGGGACACATCGTTTGCCAGAGCCCCAGGGAATGCACTGGCAAGAGGGCCGGGCACTATTAGCCATTGCCTGGGGCATTTTTTGGTCAGGGGGCCTGAGAGTGAGAGGTGCAGTCTCACTCTGACCTTGTCACTGGCAGAAGGCCCAGGAGCCCACCTGATGGTCACTTGCCCTGTCTTCAAACTGGGGACAGATGTGGTTGGTGGCCGCCCAAACTGCATTGGTTCTTAGGCCTGTGGGTGAGAGCTCCCACACTGGAGCCCAAGTGGAGGCCTCGAAACTCCACCCTCATGGGGGTAACTGAAGAGCGCAGCTGACACGGTGAGGATGGTTCTCACAAAAAGCCCCATCCTCCAGGTTACAGGGCACACTCTCCTTCAGTGACTGTCACATGGGGCCTGTGTCCCCAGGAGGCTGGCTCAATGATCCTGGAGGCAGGAGCAGCCCTGCCTGCTGTCACTGCTGTGATCCTGGGGGGATGGTGCTTCCCCTCCCTGCACCTGGTGTGTAAGTCCTGGTTCCCAAAGGGGGACTAATTCGCCAGGGGACAGGGTGAGAGTCCCACTGAACAGCTATAGCTGCACCTGCTTCTTCGAGCTCCTGGTGCCAAGGGACGGACAGGCAGGGAGCAGAGACACCATTGTGGCAGGGTGCCTTAGTGTCCTGAGGCGGCCGTAAGGAATTATCATAAACTTGGGGGGTCTTAAAACAACAGGAATTTAACCTCTGAGTTCTGGAGGCCAGATGTCCGAAAGCAGCTGCCAGCAGGTTGGTTCCTTCTCAGGGCCTCAGGGAGAGAATGTGTTCCAGGCCTCTGTCCCAGCTCCTGGAGGGGGCCCGCCATCCCTGGTGTTCCCAGGCCTGCATTGCATAACTCCAACCTCTGCTTCTATCATTAGTGGTCTTCCCTCTGTGTCTGTCTCTGTCTTCTTCCCATAAGGACACCAGTCATATTGGATTAGGGCCCCGCCTTAATGCCCTCGCCTAAACTTGATTACATCTGCAAAGACTATTTCCAAAGGAGGACCCATTGGTGCAAAGACTATTGCCAAAGGAAGTCTCAGGGCTAGCACTGAGACTTATCTTCTCTGGGGACACATTAACCTGTAACAGCAGGGGCAACTGACTCTGATAACCCAGAGGGTGTAGAACTGTGGCCACAATGAAGCAGGAATGTGTGTAGTCCAGATGATCGCCTGGGTCCTTGCCCTATTTTGATGGTAAGCAGACAAGGGTAGAAGGCAAGGCCTTCAAAAGGCTTGGGACCCAGGACCTAGATCCCTGAGGGGTGAGAGTTAGGGCCATGCCAGCAGAGGTGGTGGCTGAGGGTGAAGGGACTCTGGAATATATGATAGGGACCACCTGTAGAGGCAGGGGCTGTCGTCTGTCCATCTACCCTTCTCTGCTGACTTTCCCCAGGAAGAACGTTCTGAGAAGCCTGAAGGAGCTGCTGACAGACAGCACTGGGCAGTCAGCCCTTTTGGGAAGTGGCATTTTCCCTTGGCATTTTGAGAGCATGGCTCTAGTTTCTAGTCTGTTGAGACACCTGATGTCGCTCTTGTGGAGACCAACAGCATTTTTTCAGTGTGTGACCCCAGGAACTCTCAGTGTTGCCCAGAATGACTAGCACTATCTGATGGTTCCAGAGCTGCAACTTGGGAGGGAGAAGGGGAGAGAGAGGGATCTATGTGAGAGAGACATCGATTGATTGCCTCCCGAACGCGTCCTGACAGGGGCTGGGGATCAAAACCTGCAACCCAGGTACATGCCCTTGAGAATCGAACCCTTGACCCTTCGGTGTGCAGGCCGATGCTCCAACCACTGAGCAACACTGGCTAGGGTCTTTTGTTCCATTTTTTAGATGTTCTCTTAAATTAATTTTCCAACTATTCTATTGAATGTTTAATTTGTTATATTTTTAATGTCCAAGGGCACTTGGATATTATCTATTTATATGAGAAGAAAACAGTATGTAATCCCTGTTTCATAAACGCAGTATCTTTTCCTGCCTCCCTGAAAATATACGGAAACCTCACCTGTTTCTCTTCATTGTTAGTTGAATAGGTTTGGGTAACTTTTTTTCATTTGTTTTTAGTTTGGTTTCTAACTTCCCAATTCAGTGCTTCCCTGGTCAGGCCCAACTGTTTTTTGTTTTTTTTTTAAATCCTCACCCAAGGATAGTTTTTCCATTGAGCTTCAGAGAGTGGAAGGGAAATAGAGAGAGGGAGAGAGGGAGAGGGAGGAAGACAGAGAGAGAGAGGAGGGAGAGAGAGAGAAACATCGATGTGAGAGAGACACGTGGATTGGTTGCCTCCTGCACGCACCCTGACTGGGGCCAGGTATAGAGCCTGCAACCGAGATACATGCCCTTGGCTGGAATCAAACCCAGGACCCTTCAGTCCAGGACTGATGCTCTCTAACCACTGAGCTAAACTGGCCAGGGCCTCAACTGTTTTCTTCATACCTAAGAAGGAGCCATTAGGTTTTGGGGTGGTTTATGCCAAAAATTACCACCATAGCCAAGTATAATTTTCTAACAGGAACAACTGTGCTTATTAACAGTTCACATGCTGACTCAAATCTGTCAACCTGGTTGGCTGGTTGGACTAGTTGGTTTTATCCTAAGATGATTGGGTGAAAAACTGGGCTGGAAGATGAGGGCCTGAGTCCTGACCAGGGGCAGACTCCCCTCAATCCCTGTTTCCAGCCTTGTGTCTCTCCCAGGCAACCCCTTCCTCCGTGCTGGGTGAGCCTAAGCCAGGAGCCTCTAGTTCACTTTCTTCAGGGAATAAACCTGGGCCCGTTTCCTGCGGCAGGTGGGTGGGGTGGCCATTATTCATCCTGATGAGGCTCTGAAGCTGTGTGTCCAGACTCTAGACAACCCCCTGTTCATAGACCCCGTGTCAACACCACCTCTTCAGCCCCTGCCAACACCTGAGGTGCCTGGGACAAAGCGGCCCCATCTCCACGTGTCCTCCAAGCACAGTGAGGTGGCCTCAAACCAAGCACCAGAAAGCGGGTTGCGCTTGTCCCCACCCCCCACTTCTTGGTCCCTTCCACCTGATTCCCAGTGGCCCATCACCGATGTCACCTCCCTCTTTCTTTGCTCTGAGTTGATACCGTTTCCCTGTCCACCACTGTGCTGTCACTGAGGCTGGGGTCTAGGAGAATGGGCACGTAGGTCCAACTGTTCAACCGCTGGAAGGCCCCTCGGCTTCCAGTTTTGCACCTTTATGATTCCAGCTGCATAATTTGCCCCACACTCTGCCCTGCGGCCTCCTGGGTCACCCTCGCCTGTATCTTCCTCCAGGCACACTTAGGGATCACTGTGAATGTTCCAGATGCACCTGCAGTTCATTTTCTTTTGGGATTTTTGAAGAGTTGATATTTGATGATACCGTCTCTTTTTAGCAGCATCGAATGACATTTTATTTCATGTTACTTCCCTTCTCGGGAAAGTTTTGTGGTTGTCACGGACTCTGGAACATTTCCCTGTGAAGGTCGCAGCTACCGTCAGTAGGAACGCATGGCTGCTGCTGTGGGCCCGGCCTTTACCATTACGGCCTCTCCTTGGTTATTACTGAGATAAAAAAAAATGAGTTTCTTCTTCTTTCGCTCCTTATTTGTGTTTCAAACATTTATCTTCCATCCAGACACCTTGGGAAACCTAATCTTAAAACCTTTTCAGTTGAGGCTTTTGGCTTTTCTGAGAACAATGATTGTATTACCTGCGGTGATGGTCATGAGATTTCCCCCGAGGCCCTCAAACCTCTTGTCTCTGTTTCCGGTAGATCTGCTGTAATGTTCAAATGCTGTCCTTGTCCCCAGGTCTTGCCCAGCTGGTTATCGCCCGGCCTGGTGCTGGGGGACGGGAAGTCTGGGTCCAGCATCGGGCTGGGCGTTGGGGACTGTGGCTTCTCTCTAACATCTCTGTGACTTGTCTTCCTGTCATCTGGGCCCCGGGAACCAGCCCCAAACCCACATCCACCATTGAGGGTGGGTGAAGGCTGGGCTTCTGTCCAGACCAGCACTGGGGAGGGGGTGGAAGCCCCCCATTGCCACCCAGAGGTCTTGCCCCTGGATCTGTGAGACTTGCAGGGTCTGTGAGCCCAGCCCCCCTCCTCCTGGGTGCTCACTCTCGACTCCCTGGTGGGGCTCCCTGGCCATGGTGGATCATAGTTGCTTCCTGTAGAGATCCTGAGCATCTCCTGAGGGTTCTGGATGCCCCCAGAGACACCAAAATCTCAGCAAGGATGACAGTGACTCTGGCCCCAGGAGGAGATGATGGGTTTCTAGCGACCTGAGCTCATCTGAGAGAGAAACATCGATCGATTGCTTCTTGTGCAAAGCATCCCTTGGTGGCCTCCTTGCTTGGCTCATGGGGGACACGCCATTGGTTCAGAAGTGGGGGGACCCCCCCCTCCTCTTGCTTCTCCTCTTAAACCATTGTCTGGTCCTATCCCATGTTTGGTGGACGATGATTCTCAGAAGCCAAAGGATGGAAACGTCTGTCCCTGGCGGGTGGCCAGCCTCTGCCTGGGGTTGGACTGGGGGACAGAGCTCCTCCATTCAGAAAGCAGGGAGCGTGGGAGGGAGGTCAGCTCTCAGCACTGTGGGGTGGCTCGGGGGCTCTGGGGGTGCGAGGAGAGGCGATGAGAGCCAGCGTTAAACTGGCACCTCTCTCATCCTTGGCTGTGCGTTTTGGCGAAGTTTGATCACGCGTGTGATGTATGAGGACAGCTGAACCAGCGCATGGGAGTGTCCTGAGGCAGCTGCGATGAGTGCCACAGACTGGGGCCTTTAAACGACAGAAATTATTGTCACAGTGTTGGAGGAGGGAAGTCTAGAATCGAGGTGTGAGCAGGTCCCCGCTCCCTCGAAGGCCCCAGGGAGGCCGCCTCCTCCAACNTGCCTCCTCCAACTCGCGATGCCGCTGGCAAACTTGGCCTCCAGGTCCAGGGAGGGTGCCCCTTTCTGAGGGCGAGCGCCCCAAGGCGAGGAGCGCGGGAAGCAGGGGGCCAGGTGCTCCCCTGCGGCCCAGCTCTTGGCTCAGCTGCAAGGCCCCTATTCCATCTGCGCCCTTGCTCTTTTATTGGTTTCAGAGCATCTTATTTATTTACTTTTAATTCTCACCCAAGGATATGTTTATTGATTTTAGAGAGAGGAAGGGAGAGAGAGAAAGAGAGAGAGAGAAAGACATCAATGTGAGAGTGAGGGAGAAACATCGACTGGTTGCTTCTTGTGCGCGCACCAACCAGGGACCGAACCCACAACCTAGGTGTGCGCCCTGACTGGGACTCGAACCTGCGACCTTTTGGTGTATGGGACTCTGCAGAGCATCTTATTTTTTTATTTTCCGTGTGCATACTATCCATCTCACTACCGATATGTCTTCAGCACCAAGTTCTCAGAGAAGACACTCGGTATTTCTTGTTTGCCAGATGGCCTGTGGGTCCCCACTGATCCACTGAAGGGATAAGCCCTGCCTCCTCCGGTGCCCCACCCCAAGGAGGGCAGGCTTCCCCTTTGCCCAGCTTCTGGGCAACAGGATAAAGGGGCTCAGAGGAGCCCAGGAGCAGAAGGCGGAGAGACCTGGCATGGTGAGCACCCTGCTCAACCCCCATCCTCTCCAGCCTCAGTCCCCGGTGTCCTCACCCCAGGTCTCCTCACTCTGGCTCTACCCTCTCCCCCTGCAGATGCTGTGGCTGCTGTTCCTGACTCTCCCCTGCTTTGGGGGCTCCGTGCCTGTGACCTCAAGTGAGTCCTGACCCCCCAAGCTTGCCTATCTCCGAACCCCTGACTGATTTCTCAGAGGCCAGCCCTGGGATTTGGTGGTGGTCCCCAGATGAGGGTGGCCCTGGGGAGGGACTGAATATGAGGACCATGCTGAGTTCTGGGCAGGGGTGCCTGGGTCCCTGATGGCTCCTTCTCTGCCTCCCCAGATCCTGGCCCGGGTACTGAGCTAGCGGGCATCGTGGGGGGCCACGATGCCCCTGCTGGGAAGTGGCCGTGGCAGGTGGGCCTGTGGTTCTTGGATCCATTTGTGGGGTGGGAGCTCATTTGTGGGGGCTCTCTCATCCAGTCCCAGTGGGTGCTGACCGCTGCCCACTGCATTCGCGGGTAAGTCTCCACCCTGCCAACACCTGGGGAGTGGACAATGTTGGGAGGCATGTGATGTGTGTTGTGGGCAGTTCCTGGGCTGGGTGGCTGCAGACCCCCTGCCAGGATTCAGCTTCCTGGGGTTCCCCTTGCCCACCGCAGAGGGGGAAGCCTCTAGGCTCTGAGGGGCTGGCGCACTTCTTGCTCTTCTGCTACAGCCTCTTTCAAAGCTTCTGGTCTTCTGTTCCCCAGGAAAAACCCAGTGCCTTCGAGCTTTAAGGTGCAACTAGGACTAGTGAGACCCTCCCTCTATTATACTGAGAAGGTGGCTATGGTCATCCGGCACCCCGCGTACAGTCTTGAAGAAGGGCCGCAAAGTGGGGCGGATGTGGCACTTCTCAAACTGGAGGCCTCCGTGCTGCCATCTAACCTAGTCAAGTGGATCACCCTCCCACCAGAGTCATTCACGGTCCCCTCAGGCACGGAGTGCTGGGTGACCGGCTGGGGTGACACTGATCCTGAAGGTAAGGATTGGGATGACCAGCTGGAGTTTAAAGAGGAGACTGAGGGCAGGTGCAACGGGGTGCTGGCCAAGCTTTACAGATGAGGTCTTAGCTAGGGTCCCTCCTGGAGTCTCCCTTGGGTGTAGGAGGGACAGCTAGAGAGGACTCTGTTAAGGAGCAGAGATCAGAGTAGCAAGAGTGAGGCCAGGCCATGGGCATTTCCTTTTTCTTTTTTTTAAAATCTTCACCCAAGGGTATTTTTTTCCATTGCTTTTCAGAGAGAGTAGAAGGGAGAGAGAGAGAGAGAAACATTGATGTGAGAGAGACACATCGATTGATTGCCTCCCACATGAGCCCCGCCCGGGCCGGGGCCGAGCCTGCAACCCAGGTACGTGCCCTTGACTTGGAATTGAACCCGGGACCCTCTGATGCACCGGCCAGTGCTCTAAGCACTGAGCACACTGCAGGCCGCTGGGGGTGTTTCTTGGCGCTGACTCTGAGCCAGGCCCTGTGTGTGCCCTATGTCCGCACGCTCTCTGTAGCCTTGGTGGGATGGAAACCGAGGAGCGAGAACTCCAGCGACTTGCTCAAGGATTCACTATGAAATGGCCAAAGTCAAATTTGACACTAGGTCTGCTCCCTCGGCATTTCTTGGGTGAAAGCACTTGCTCTGATTTTTCCCAATGAAAGTTATTTGTGGGTAAAAATATAGATATATTTCTGTTTCTTTTTGGAGCTTGGCGTCCGGTGTCAGCCTAGAGGTGATCAGCCCATTGGTCGTCTTCGGAATGAACCTGGAGAGTTGGGGTCTGGGGGGACTCCCAGGGTTTCCCTGGGGGCACTGAGGCTCAGTGTGTGGTTCTAGAACCCACGGCCTGTGGCCGTATGCCCCTCAGGACCCTAGGCTCACTTGGCTTCTTCTCACAGAGCCGCAGGCCCCGCTCCAGAATCTGCAGGAGGTGAAGGTCCCCATCGTGGCGGATGAGGTCTGTTGGCAGAAATACTCCAGGATCAACAAGTTTATCAAGGGCGACATGCTGTGTGCGGGGAGCAAGGACCGGGACTCCTGCCAGGTGAGAGCCCCAGGCTGTGGCCTCTGTGCATTGCTCCTGCCTGCACGGACCCTGAGCACTGACCACCTGTCTCTTTTTCCCACAGGGTGACTCCGGGGGCCCCTTGGTCTGTAAATGGAGGGGAAACTGGGTCCAGGTAGGAGTGGTGAGTTGGGGGGAGAGCTGCGGTCATTCTGACTTTCCTGGAGTCTATGCCCGAGTGACATCCTTCTTGCCCTGGATCTACCGGTATGTCCTCTCCTCTCCTTGAGCCCCGGGCAGGGACAAGGATGCTGCCCACGTGAGATGAATACAGGTCCTCCATGGTGTTTGGGGGACCCTCGCTGCTCCTTCCCCAATGCCAGCTCTCCATTGCACCTAGCGTCATCTTCCATGTCCCCGCTCAGGAATCCTCCCACCTCAGCCACCTCCTCCAGCACCCTGTCGGTCCCCTGACAGGCGAAAGGGAGAGGCGGGTCTGTGCTCTGCAGGCGGGTGGGTGGCAGGAAGCACCCCGGGACCCCTGCCTCCTGCCCACTCTCTGTAGCTCATTAAACTGCTTGAAAAACTGCTCTGGACTGAGTGTCTGTGGCGTGGCCGAGGCAGCGGCGGGTGGGATCGTCCTGGTGGGGGTCTCAGCCTATGGAGGGTGGATGGGGGTCACCTGTGACTGCAGCATGGGTGGGCCCTCTTGGCTGGGGTGGGGGGATTCTGCCCGGGCCCTGCTCCCCGAGCTGCCCAGCGTCAGCCTGTCTAGATGCCTCCTTCAGCGGCAGTCAGAGTGGAAGCGATGCTTTGAATGACAGGCTTGGCAGCATGAACGCAGGAAGCATTGTTCCACCATTGTCACCACGGCTCTTCTCCACCCGGCACCCCTAATCTCCATTTTCCAGTTTGATCAACTTCTGCAAGGCCCATCTTTTCTTCCCATGGGGGGGATGGGGGTTCCAGTGGACCAGAGAAGCTTCTCGGTTTCAAATCTAGGAAGTAAGAAGTCAGCTGCGAGGCCCCCTCCTGCCCGAGGCGGTGACGTGCGTGTTCCTGCTGAACTAGGATTTGGGGGAATGGTTGGTGCGCGGCTGGGGTTGGGGCCAGGACCCATGAGAGCCCGTGGAGCTTGATGCAGCCCCGCATTGTGGGTGAGGGGGCTCCATACCCTTCAGAGGCAGGCTGATCCCCAGTGTCTGATTTCTAAAATGCGGTGGCAGCCTTTGAGACCTTTCAGTGACCAAGAGCCCTGCCCCCGAGGCCAAGGTGAACAGCCCTGCTCTCCTCTGACTGTGACCTGGGTGCCTGGGGAGAGGTCTGGGCTCCGGAGATAGGGAGATTGGAAGCTCCAGGGTGGGCGGGTCAGGAGCTGCTTCCTTCACCTGCCCAGGGACTGAAGTCTGGGTTTCCTGGGAGCCGGAGCTCTCCGAGAAATCCTTTTTCTGAGAGGATGAGGCCTGAGACCCAGCCGGAAGGCACCACTGTGCAGATGGCCCACCTAGGGGATCTGCTCCACCCAGGGAGCAAGGAGGGGGCTGACACAGCACAGCCTGGCGCTGCCCCCTCGGTGTGCCAGGCACACGTTCTGCCCAGGTGACTGCCCTGTCAGTGGGGCCATGTTGATGGGCGGCTGCCAGGTGACCCGCATATGTCTAGTTCACCCCCTGCCCGCCCAGAGGGGTGTTGGTGTGCCTGCCTTGCCACTGGGTTTCATGGGATTGTAAATTCCTTTGTAGCCAGTGAAAGAGATTTTTCTCCACTGGTTAGGGGTGTAGTCAGACCTTTCATGTTTTCAGGATTAAGAATGAGGATCTGGCCAGTGTGGCTCAGTGGTTGAGCGTTGCACCAAGAGGTATCTGGTTCGATTCCTGGTCAGGGCACATGCCTGGGTTTCAGGCTCGATCCCCAGTGCTGGGCGTGCAGGAGGCAGCCGATGGATGTTGGTGCATTGATGTTTCTCTCTCTCTCTCCCTCTCTCTTCCTTTCTCTCTAAAATCAATAAAAACGTATTTTAAAAAAATACACACAGAATGAGGATCTGGGAGACTCATGGGCCAGAGCTTCTGAGGGAGGGAGAATGTCTAGGACCTGGTGTTGTAGGGAAGGCTGGAGTTAGACAAACCCGAGCCTGGGGCTATCTGCAGGCAGGGCCACACGGTGGACTAATAGGGCTCTGTCCCCTGAGGACCGGCACAGGGCTCTGCCCCTCTGTCTCGGCTGGAATCACCACCAGGGCGCCTCACTTCCTGGGCTCAGCAGTAATTCATGGTGGGCTGAGCCAGGATTCCTGGCTGGAGGTGGGCAAGTGGTTGCCTCTGGCCTCTGAGATCTTTTCTATCTGAGCCCTGGGCAGGCAGAGGTGGGTGTGGGGGAGCACTGAGCCAGCAAGGCTTTGTTCCCCAAAAGAGGCCCCTCTAGGGCCAGGCCAGTGCCCATAGGGACTCTGGGGTGGGGCCCACAGGTGTTGGTCCCCTCCTCTTGTCTGAGATGAGCAAGAGACACCTTCGGGGTTTGGAATGGAGATTCCCTCTAGGCCCATGCCCTTCGCTCAAGGTGGAAAAACACACCTCAGACACTGTCAGGCTCTCCCACCTGTGCTAGTGTCCTGGCTTCACAGTAACAAAAGCCCACAGACGGGGGTGGGGGTGAGTCTTAAAACGAGACAAATTCATTCTCTTATGGTCTGGGGGCCAGAAGTCCGAAATCAAGTTGTCCTGGGGCCGCACCTAATCCTAGGCTCCCGCCTCTCCCAGCTTCTGGCGGTGCTGGGAATCCTTGGCTTGTGGATGCGTCGCCCTATCTCCCCCTCCCCCCACCCCTCTTGGTGTCCTCTGCGTCTCTCCGCGTCCTCACCTCTTCTTACAAGGACACCCATCATTGGATTTAGGGCCTACCCTGCTCCAGTCTGACCTCATCTTAACTAGTTACATCTGCATTGACCCTATTTTCAAGCGAGGTCAGGTTCTGAGGCTCTGGGCCTCGCTGATCCACATTGATTTACTTCATTGGTGACATTATGTGCCAATCAGGCTGCGTGCTTCTGAGAGGGGGAGAGCAACCCTGAAGAGGTACAGGGGCTTGCCACATTCAATATTCAGGAGTCCCACGGGCAAGCATGCGGGGACCCCCCCCCCGCCACGATAACAGACCAGTGATGACATCTGCACCTCTCATGGGAAGGAAGCAGCATGTTCCACACCTGAGGGCCGCTCCAGCCTGCAAAGTTGGTGACACAAAAGGCTGCCAGTTCTGAGGGGTCCCCAGTGCTAGAAAGGGCTCTGCTGCGGGTCCAGGCTGTCACTTGCATTGCAGGACACAGTAGACATGATGGTATTAAAAGTATTGGTGATGGGCAAGCCCCGGCGGGGGAGTGACGACTAGGCCCATGCAGCCTGCGTTGAAGAATATTATTGAGCTGTGAGTTACAGCTGGTGTCTGGGCACATTGGGTTCCTTGTGTCTAGAGGCCAGTGAACAAGAAGTGCCATCATCTTGGTAGGGACAATAACACTGACCACCAAGAAGAGGAAAGGCTGCTGTGTCACAATGGGGGGCAGGGAAGATGAGAGGCACTTGCGTGTCCCTTGGTACCTCCTCAATTGTGATGGCAGATGGACAAGTGCAGTCACCCGGCCTGAGAAGTTCATGTGACCAGACAGAGCTCAGATTCTCAGGGATGAGGGTCTGGGTCATGCTACCAGGTAAGACCCAGAGTCCACAGTTAGTAGCAAAGTTAGGATCTAGGTGGACAGTGGAGGGGGCCCTGTCAGCCTCAGTTGTACCCTGATCCTCTGAGCTTCCCCGGGCAGAAACTCCTCCGTAGCTCTGAGCAGCTGTCCTCAACACACGAGGCAGAAGGGGGTGGGCTGTGCCCGACACAGAGGTTGGCCTCCAGGTCCCCTTTCAGGGCAGAACTTGATGGCCTGCGTCTGGGAGGCTGGCAGCTCCTGGTCAAGGCCCCGTTGGTTAGTGTAGGATGATGTAGGGCCTGGATTTTGTTCAGCGAGGGCCAGGGACACTGGGTCTCCCCCTGGGCCGGTCAGGGCTTAGTCAGCCCTGCACTGTGCTCCAGCCTCCCCCTTCGCCCAGCTTTGCCCCATCTACCTGCCTTCAGGATGCCTCGCCCCAATTTGTACCCTGTGTTAAACACCCTGTCTCCAGCTTCTGGAGAGTTCAACCTGCACAGCTGGTGGCAGTGAGGGTGACCACAGGCCACATGCCAGTCAGATGGCAGCAGTGAAGGTAGTGGCCTGCCGTGCTCTAGTCAGATGGTGGCGTGCTCCACGCCTGCCTCACGGAGTTCAACAGATTCGAGAGTTGCCCTGTGGCCCGAGTGGCCCAGCACCTGGTGTCTGTGCCTCCCTGGGCCCAGCGCTCCAGGGCTCCTTCCAGCAGACCTGACCCTCCTGACACTCTCTCTTCTGGTCGCTTCTGCCGGCCTGGGTGTGTTTTATGGCTGAGATCCGCGCAGTTAGAGTGTGGTTGTTGCCCAGTGACAGCCTGGTGGCAGGTCTGGTGGGAAGCTGGGCAAGGGCCCAGCAGGAGCTCTTCCAGGCCTGTTGACTGACTCGCCGACCTGGGGTGGGCCTGAGAAAGGAGAAGCTTCACTTCCCGCCCACAGCCCAGCCAGGGGCCTGCCCCTGCCTGCCCCTTCCCGTGCCAGGGAATAAAGGGTCTCAGAGAGGCCCAAGGAGGGTCCATCAAGGTGAGGACACCCCTGCTCGGACCCCAGCTTCTCCATCCCCACACCGGGGCCCTAGTTCCTGGTGGTCTCACCCAGGCCCCTGCCCATCCCCACAGATGCTGTGGCTGCTGTTCCTGACCCTCTCAGGCCTGGGCGGCTCCGTGCCCTTGTTCCCAGGTGAGTCCCGACACCTGTCCCCATCTGCTGCCTGAGGCTGCCCAGGCCGCTCAGCGTCAGCTCAGGGTGAGAGCGACTGGACTGCTCGGGAGGGGCTGAGTGCGGGGGAGGCTGTGCTGGGGTTCGCGATGGCGTCCCCTCTCTGCCTCCCAGATCCTGGCTCAGGGAGGCCGCAGGGTGGCATTGCGGGGACACACGATGCCCCCACCGGGCGATGGCCTTGGCAGGTCAGCCTCCGACGGTACAACAAGGGGCTTGAGCTGTGGCAGCACGTCTGTGGGGGCTCCCTCATCCACCACCAGTGGGTGCTGACCGCTGCCCACTGCACCCAGCGGTGAGCAATGGGCCTGATGCCCCCTTGGTGGGGCGGGGGTGGGGAACACGCAGGGGGTGAGAGGAGGGCTTTGGGGCAGGGCCCCGGGCCTCGGGGACAGCCACTGTTAGTGGCCAGCGCCATTCCTGCTGCTGTGCCGAGGCTGGTCCTGCCCCTAGCCTCCTCAGAGAAGCTCCTGGTCCCTCTCCCCCAGGGAGGACCTGGAGGCTGGTGGCTTCAGGGTTCAAGTTGGGCGGATGAGACTCTATGACCATGACAAACCGACAAACGTGACTCAGGTCATCCGCCACCCCGAGTTCAACCAGAGCTTGTCTGCCGAGGGAGGTGCGGACATCGCCCTGCTGAAACTGGAGGCCCCTGTGACACTCTCCGAGCACATCAACCTAGTCACCCTGCCACCTGCCTCTCTAAAGGTCCCTGAGAGGAAGATGTGCTGGGTGACTGGCTGGGGTTACATCAGACTTGGAGGTAAGGCCTGGTGGGCAGTGGAGACACAGGGTAGCCTGCTGGATGTGTGGTTGTGGCTTTGCTGAAAAGCCTTTATTCTCTGCAATTTTGGGGAATCCTCCATCTTTTTATTGTGGCAAAATATATATAACAAAAATTTACCATTTCCACCATTGTTAAGCGCACAGTTTAGTGGCATTCGGGACGCTCACAATGCTGTGCGGCCCGCCCCGCCGTCCGCCTCCAGAACTCTCGGGCTCCCAGGCAGAAGCTCCGTCCCCACCGAATGCTAACTCCCGCTCCAGGCTCTGGCCACCATGAAGCCACTTTCCGTGTCTACGGATTTGCCTGTTTGGATATTTCATATCAACGTGAATCATACCACGTGTGGTTTTTTTGTCTGTCTTCTTTCACTTAGCATGATGTTTTCAGGGTTCAGCTACGTTGTCGCATGTGTCAGAACTTCATTCCTTTTTACAGCCAAGTAATATTCCATTGGGTGGATGGGACGCTTTATCCATCCATTCCTGAGCTGATAGACTGTTTCCACCTTTCGGCTGTTGTGAATCATGCTGTTGTGACCCTGTGTGTTCAAGCACCCGTCAGAGTGTCTGTTTCCAATTCTTTCTTTTTTTAAATTTTATTTTTCAATTACAGTTTACATCCAATATTATTTTGTATTAGTTTCAGGCGTACAGTACAGTGGTTAGACAGTCATATACTTTACAAAGCCTTCCCCCTGATATTTCCATACCCACCCGGCACCGTACAGAGTTATTGAATATTATTGCCTAGATCTCCTGTGCTGTACTTTACAGCCCCATGGCTAATTTGTAACCACCAATTTGTACTTCTTAATTGCTTCAAGTTTTCACTCAGCCCCCGACCCCCTGCCCTCTGGCAACCATTAGTCTGTTCTCTGTCTTTATGAGGCTGTTTCTATTTTGTTTATTTTGTCCTTTAGATCCCACATATAAGTGAAATCATATGGTATTTATCTTTCTCTGGCTTATTTCACTAAGCATAATGGTACGATGGCTTTCATTTTTACGGTCAGGTAATATTCCACTGTACACGCAGGGAGGGGCAAAAGTAGGTTTACAGCTGTTTGTATGGAAAATAATTGATAAATACAATAATCAATAAATAATAACACAAGAATAAGCTCTGTTTCACCTACTCACGACTGCAAACCTCCTTCTGCCCCACCTGGTATGTAGCGTCATGCTTTTATCACTCGTCCATTGGTGGGCACTTGGGCTGCTCCCAAACCTTGGCTATTGTAAGTAACACTGCAGGGTGCGTAGGGGTGCATAGGGGTGTGTAGGGGTGCATAGGGGTGCATGCTTTCTTTCCGATGAGTGCTTTGGGTTTCTTTGGATATACACCCAGAACTGGAATTGCTGGGTCACAAGCAGCTCCATCTCTAATTTTTTGACGAGCCTCTATGCTGCTTTCCAGGGCAGCTGCACCAAGTTGCAACCCCCCAACAGTGCATGAGGGCTCCCTTGTCTCCACAGCTTCGCCCACACTTGTTGTTTTTTGGTTTTTTGATGGCAGCCACTCTGACAGGTGGAGGTGTTGGCTCATTGTGGTTTTGATTTGCATCTCCCTGATAGATAGCGAGGTTGAGCACCTTTTTATATATTCGTTGGTCATTTGTGTGTCTTCTTGGGAGAATGTTTGGTCCTGGGCCCATTTAAAAATTGGATTGTTTGTTTGGTGTCGAGTTGCATGGGTTCTTTATGTAGTTTGGAGCTGTCCTTTGTAAATATCTTCTCTCATTTGGTTGGTTGCCTTTTGGTTTTGCTGGAGGTTCCTTGCTTTTTGGGTGTAGATGGTCCCATTTGTTTATTTTTGCCTTTACTTCCCTTGCCTTTGGGGTCAAACTCATGAACTCTTCTCTTAAGACCAAGGTCTGTAAGTTTAGTACTTATGTTTTCTTCTATGTAATTTATTGCTTCACTCCTTAAAATTAGGTCTTTGCCCCATTTTGAGTTAATTTTTGTACATAGGGACAAACTGTAGTCCAGTTTCATTCTTTTGCATGTGGCCTTCCAATTTTCCCAGCACCATTTATTGAAGAGGGTTTCTTTTCTCCATTATATGTTTTTGATCCCTTTATAAAAAATCATTTGCCCATATACATGGCAGTTAATTTCTGGGCTCTCAGTTCTGTTCCATTTGCCTGTGTGTCTGTTTTTCCGCTAATACCATGCTGTTTTGATTATTGTGGCTGTAGAATAACTCGAATTCAGGGAGTGTTATACCTCTAGCTTCCTTCTTTCTCCTCAGGATTTCTTTGGCTATTTGGGGTCTTTTGTGGTTCCACACAAATCTAATGATTTTTTTTGTTCTATTTTTAAAAAAGTCATTGGGCTTTTGATGGGGATTGCATTAAATCTGCATATTCTTTGAGTAATATGGACATTTTAACTATGTTGATTCTTCCATTTCATTGTGTTTTTTTCAATCTCTCTTAATAATGCTTTGTAGTTTCCAGTATATGGGCCCTTCACATGCTTTGTTAAGTTTATGCCTAGGTATTTTATTCTTTCTGTTGCAATTGTAAAAGGAATTGTTTTTTCTATTTCTTCTTCTATAATTTCATTGTTAGTATATATTAATGCAGAGAAATTTTTGTACGTTGATTTTGTACCTGCAACTTTACTGTCTTTGCTTATTGTTTCTGATATATATATCAGAAATATATATATATATATTTTGGTGGTGGAGTCTTTAGGGTTTTCTATATACAGAATCATGTCATCTGCAAAGGGCGGCAGTTCTACTTCTTCCTTCCCAACTTGGATGCCTTAATTTCTTTCTCTTGCCTTATTGATTTGGCCAGGACTTCCAGGACTATGTTGAGTAAGAGTGGTGAGGGTGGGCATCCTTGTCTTGTTCCTGATCTTGGAGGAAAAGCTTTCATTTTTTTACCGTAGAGTATGATATTAGCTGAGGGTTTCTCATACGTATATGGCCTTTATTGTGTCGAGGTATTTTCCTGCTACACCCGTTTTATTGAGTGTTTTAACCATAAATGGATGTTGTATCTTATCAAATGCTCTTTCTGCACCTATTGATATGATCATATAATTTTTTTCTTTATTTTGTTAATGTGGTGTATTCCAGTGATAGATTTGCATATGTTGAACCATCCTCGCATCCCTAGAACAAGCCCCACTTGATTGTGATGTATTTTTAAAAATGTATTATTGTATTCGATGTGCTAGCATTTTGTTTAGGATTTTTACACCTGTATTCATCAGAGATCGTTGGTCTGTAGTTTTCTTTTTTTGTGTTATCCTGGCCAGGTTTTGGTATCGGGGTTATGTTGGCTCAGAAAATGTGTTTGAAACTATTGCCTCTTCTTCAAGTTTTTGGAAGAGTTTGAGAAGGGTAGGCGTCAAATCTTCCTTGAATGTCTGGTGGAATTCACTAATGAAGCCATCTTGTCCTGGGTTTTACTTTTTTGAGAGGTTTTGATGGTTGTTTCAATTTCCTCACTGTTGATTGGTCTATTTAGATTTTCCAGTTCTTTGTGATTCAGTCTAGGAAGGTTATAGATTTCTAGGAACTTGCCCATTTCTTCTAGGTTGTTGAATTTGGTGGCATATAGTCTTTCATAGTCTTCTAGTGTTAGCCTTTGTATTTCTTTCCTCCCT